TAGACCAAATATGAAATTACCCAAGGGGATCCGCAGCTACCAGGTCCGGGCCACGGTTTTCGGTACACGCAAATTAAAAGGCATTATAGTTTTCAGACTATACTGATTCAACATGGCACGTAATCAATGCTTCGTTCACTATACTCGGGATCTCGTAGATAAAAATAGTTGAGCCGATTATGTGCAGCTATCAGCATAGATCATCTGTGTTAATTGTAACTCATTAATAAATTTTGATTGCACACCGGTGTTGGCAATGCAAAAATGAACTGTGCTTCATCCATTCCGATATGAATTCCGCTCCGCAGATGGCAAACCCCGTCTATTCGGTGCATCATCAGTATAGGCTTGAAGTGGGAGTAGTTTTGGTGGTATGGGAGAAACGCGGGCGGGTGAACAGATCACACTTCGTCTCGTAACATATCTCTCCAGCGACCCGTTTGTATGTGTTCGTTCAGTTATAATCGACTGTAAGACAGCTAGTCTTCCGGTAATGACATGGAATATGTTCTTTTTTTTATAAATTCAGCGCATATTGGCTGAGTTAAAAAACGCTATCCGACCCCGAGCATCTATTTTTACTGCTTTATTTTGATTTCCTTATGACTGACTGCATAAATATCACAAAGTTTCGTAATAGCTTGATGCACGAAACATCCCCAACTTGATTCGTCTTTTCCACAGGTTCAGGTTGCTCTTGGCACAAAATGTGGGGACTACAACAAAGCAGCAGTTGATGCATGGTTGTCGATAGCTCGTTCGTTATCCGATAAATGTGGATGGATCTATACATCCCTGTTAGCCTTATTTGTCCATTTTATCCAGCTGTAAATCTTGTCCATCCACTAAGGAGTAGCTTTCTTTGCATATTGTAAGCCGCCTCGTCAACAATTCTATATCTCGGTTACCGTCGACGTTGATTAGCTCACCTGACATACGCTTTGCTAGAGTGGGACCATTGATTTCTGTCTCAGAATTCTGGAGCCGATAGTTGAAGTCGGGTAACTGAGGAGGGCGTCAAAGAAAAGTGGAATAAATGTCTCGAGCAATAAGGTGATCTACCAGTTGCGAGATGTTATCGTTCTCAGATGCCTCCTACAATCCATATGGCATTTATTTATGACGAATTGCCAGTCAAATCTACGTTACTCTAATCTACATTTTCTCAGCATATGTCCATTTGATATATTGGTCTCGAAAGAAAATCTATCCATCCTCTCTTCCCCAAAGCGACAAACGATTTCTTTTCGAACGTAAACTCCATTTCCCACCCAACTGTCTTTTTGGGAGGGATATGCCATAAATTCCGTATGAAGCTGGAGGAGTTAGAACCGATCATGCTAGGCAAAAAGTTTTATTGAATTAGTGAATTTGTCTTGAGGCATCATTTAGCTTTTTTCAGTACCCAATGTAATATATCTTGGGATGAAAATTGTTTCTGAAGTGGCAATGTACGCGAACTGTCTCGTGCATCAAGTATGTTTCTCATCTCCGTGCTAAGTTGGACAAGAAACAAGCTGAACGCTTTAAAACACCACCGTTCAACAACACTCCTTTTTGTTTTCTGGTACACTGTGACTGAGTCTCTTTCACGTCATCAACCCCTTACTCGGGTCCTGTCCAACAGTAAAACGCCACTATGACCAACCATCTGTTCCATTTGGGTGAGCGACCGGTGATCTGTGAGAATTTCTGGTACCTATCATACCTTGGAAGACAAATCTGAGCGTTATCTTTCTCTCTCCATTTCAGCCAGAATTTTTAATCCTGTCCTCCAGTCCATCTGATACTAGGCTCGACATCTGTTCCGTTCACTCCATCCGGTGGTTGAAAAATATCCATTTCCACCGTTGTGTGTGTGTGTACTCTGTACAGTTGCAGTTGTCCATCTACGATTGACGCCTTGAATGTTACTCGCGTTTACCGGGAGAGTAGTGAGGTGTGAACATAACCGGTGATAGGTAAACGGAACAAGATGTGTTGGATACTCACTGGGTTGATTGTCGTAACCACTTGTCTTAATTATCCGTGTCAACCAGTGGTATTGATCGTTTGCTCATCATTTCCTCTAGGGTGCATAATCTGACGGTTTTACGATCGCTTTCTGTTTTATTTGTCTGCCGTTCGAATGGTTTGTTCTACCGAACACAGCGAAAAAGAATCGATAGATGACTCCCCGGTACCTGTGAATATTTCAATGGACTAATCCAAATATCATAATTGAAATATCTTCCGGTACGCCATAATGATATGATATGCAACAAAAATATGTCCCGTGGTGACTTGGAGTAGTTGATCTATGGGGCCGGTAGCTTTATCCGTGAAACTTATGTGAGACTCAATGCCAGATCCGATGAGAGCAGTTCGTCTAACCCATTCACTTCAAACCGAATCAAACACACTTATCCCTTACCTGCATCAACCTGAAACCCCGTCACTGTCTTCTAAATGATTTTGTCCCTATGTATCAACCGCTTCTTTACACGATGCAAAACCCGCGATTTCATCACTTGGTCGGATCGATAGACCAGTATTCTCACCACTCGCAGGCAATCTTTCTTTGTTCCCGTCGGATAAACTTATATTGGACGCATTCGGTTCGTTTGATTTGCGTTTGTTTCGTTTTCCGGCCCCTTTTTTCTATATCCGGAGGCTCAGTTTCGCTTTCCGACTCTCCGTCGTTTCATCTTTATGCACCCGCGGTTAGGGATGATCCTACCCATCTTGATACAGTGTTACGATTGAGTGAGTGCTACGCGCCTGCAACAACCTATACCCCGCGGGATCCCACCCGCTCCAGACAGATTTACTTTCCTACCTCTGTTTCTGCTGCTGCCGCTTTCACTGACCTCCTTTCTGTCCAGTCGTGAATTACGAGGCGATTGGTAATACTATGTCGAAAAAATACACTTGACCGCGTATCAGTTCAGATTGCACCAATTACTGTTCATCTGCTACTAGTGTAGCCATGTTCGGCATGCGTTTTGCGCCTTCAAATTGGAAAATGTTGCTACAGAACTGGGTTTGGTCCATCACCCAGCCTCACTCTTCTAATCGAGGAAGTGAACTAATTTTGTTATTTGGGCAGTTATATTTCACCTGGCGGATGAATCTCGAGTGTGGCATTGGCTCGCATTTCATAAGATTCAATTGGCATTTATCAACTTAAGACATCTGTGAAAGATCGAGTATATTCTACAGCAGTTCGGCATGTGCTGGGGCTTGTTTGTTACGAAACTCGGATGCAGACAGAATGCTGGCGTTCGTACACCGCTGCCTACAATGACTACATTACGCGAGTCTGGTGGGGCAACTGGGTAAGCAATACGAAGGTTAGGCCGAAAGTTTTAGGTAACCGCCTTCGTCCAATGGGAGCGATTGGTCGACTTCCGTAGCCTTTGTTGCCCGAGACATGTGTTACGCATGATATCAAGTAGGTTGTGACCTCACACGATGTTTGCCAAAATCTGTTTCCATGGTTGATGTTTTTCCTAATTTTGATAGTGCCTTGTTTTAATTTTAAATCCGTTTGTTTATTTTCCCCCCGTAACTTATCTGAACACACATACACACACCCGTCAGCAATCGGAGAAGAAAAACCTGTGAACTTCAGCAGTTACTGTGCCTGTCCCTCATAGACAAATAGCTCGCAAGACATTGTTTTTTGGTGATTAGGGATTATTGATACTTTATTCCCGAGTTTCCCTCACTCTCGCCCCTTCGCAATCCTCTGTTTTCTTTTTGAGAAGGCGATTCCGTCTAAGTCGTTTGTCTGCCTGTCTGATGAGCAATGGACCGCATTCGACTCATTTTCTTATCTCCTTTGTGTGTGTCTATTGTGGGAGGTTTCACTCCTTTGACCTTACTGTAAAGTGCACTGACAGTCGGACATGGTCACATGTACGCGCATTTTTCGCGCGTCAAGTTCGCGTTAACTTTATGGTAATTCCCAAATTGGCATTTGCCTGATCTAGTTTTGCAGGTCATGGACCTGTTCCTGCGTTCTATTTGACCTGAGATTCTCAAACTGGCGAGTTTTGCCTAGTGATTGGCTGTTTTTTGATTTGAAACAGTTAATGTAAATACTTCCATAAACTGAATACTTCGTTTACCCTCATGTGGTAGTCTCTTGGTTTTTCTCTCTTGAAACCGATGATGCCTCGCCGTCGTCCTTGAGGCTTGGCATTGAGGCACTTTCGTTTCTTTTTCTCCGCTCTATGTGCAGACTTCATCCACGGTTCATTTCTACTGGTTGCTTACACCTCAAGTTTTGGTACTTCATTTAAACAATTGGGTGATTTTCGCAATTGCGAATATGTGCTGACTGAATGGGAATCAGGCTGAAGGGGCAAGGGGGAGGGGAAATCTTTGCCATTAGACTTTCTCTGTCGCATCCAACTGTTTTTCAATATCACAAACCGAGTTCTCCGTATTTCTGTTTATTCAGTTTCTAACTATTGCCAAGACAACCAGCTGAAACCTGTTAGCGAAACCAAGGCCCCATAGTGAAATGTTCACTTATTTGTCAAACCCTCGGGATAACTGACACCTAGAGCTTTTCAAAAAGCAGTTTAATTATCTCTCCTGAATAGGCTATGATAGGCTATGAGGGTATTCAACTTCATCTCGATGGAAGGGCCTTGAATTGTGGGACGAATTCATGGACGTTTGTAAGCATATCCCTATCGGGTGAATCTGCTACTTCCGTACTATCTTTCTGCACACTACTCTCTCCCTTGTCTTACTTAATGTTTGGGCATCTGGGGCAAATCAGTTTCATTTGTATCCATCGTAAGACGAAGCGAGTTGATTAGGCTAAATAATTGACGAGATCGGAACAGCTGTATCCTTCTTGTTGCTGCACATGACTTGTTGGNGTACCATCCTCTATTTTTTCACGCGCACACACAATTCTACTCAGTGTAACTTTTCTCAAAACACACCTGTCGTGAAAAGATGCCTTCCTAATCGCGCTTGGTTAGCTTACCCTTTTGGTTTGACTATAAACAACCCTGTCCGGGTTCGCTTATCCTGTTAACCCGATCATCAACATGTTCCTCACCCTGTTCCTGTGTTTGTGCGTTACAATCTCGGTACCTCGTTTCCTTCGAAGCNTGGTTCTTTAAAGTACACACGCAAATCTTTATCGGGGTATAAAGTTGAATCGTATTGTGACCGAGTCGAAGGGTCTCCTGACACATTGACGGCTTTCGTCAGTTATGAGTTCTGTTCATGAACGAACAAGGATCAGTTTGTCATCATCCGTCGAACGCGGCCCAGCGGTTTGGACCACTGAATTGATCTCAAAACCATCGTGACTGTTGCCTCTCTATTTCAATTGCACTCACGCTTTTGTCAAGTAGACGGTTGCGAATCAGATAGTGCCAGGATCCAATCTTGTGACTCTCATAATCGAGAAGAACAAACGACGGTATTGGACAATAGAGTAAACACTCGCGGTAAGGTGCAAGCTTTTTTCAAATTAATTCGTAGCGTTCCTGTTTACTTTGCATATTTATCGTTTATAATGCTCCAATAGATGAAAAATTCGTCCGGGTCCAAAATTTCTGTTTTGCTTCGAATATGCTCAGTACGATTTGCCGCTTAGACAGCTCCGTTTTCGCCGAGTAATTAAGGGACAGTTTTGTCACACGCGCATTTAGTGGAGGAATTGCTTGAGTTAACTGGTATTGCTGCGGTATTCGTTTGTTCCTCGTTGATTGGAAGCAGAAGGCGGATAGGTGTAGCAGATAAACGCAGACTATGTGTGCTTTGATATCTCTGTCTACACAGCAGCACTTGAGTTCGATCAATGATTTGTAATCGTACAAATGCTTTTCACAGGTATATCTCCAGTTGGGCTTTTTTGGGGCGTGCAACACTACCGGCTGATACCCCTGAGAGCAGCCCAATACATGGTATAAAACACTGAGGGTTTTGCAAAGCCGGTGATGCTCGTATATCTACTCACTTTCCCTAAACTCCCTCATTTATTGTATGTTATGAAGCAAGGTTTTCAAAATAAGTGGGCAGTAATAGTACGACCATGAGCGTCGTTTCGTTTTTTGACCCTTAGCCCATATCTTATCTCTTCTTAAAGGCGCTCTTTAATTGGCTCATCATACTAGCATCTTTTTGTGTCATCTCCCCAAAACCCGTTTTTTCTCTTTCTCGATTGGCTGCCGATCCTTGACATCCAAAGTGATTTTCTTTGCGTTGTTTTTTCCCTTCTATCCGAATAAATTTTGTTCTCCTTCAAATTGCGCTTCATTTTTGTCCACTATGAAACCACCTCTTCTTCTCGGGCAAGCACAATCACTCCTCTCTCTCTCATCTTCACAACCGTCAGTCACATTCTCTTCAGATCGAAACATGTTCGGTGGGTACGTGCATGTCTGTCCAGGTTCTCGTTTGTTAGTCTCCCAAGTTCCCTTACTTTTTCTGTTCCGTAGTGTGTGTCACATCAACTCTCGACAAATTTCAATCATCTGAGCCGTTTGGACGCCTTTGCCCCTCCCCTATCTCTTAGTCTGTCAAATTTACACATGCGAGAGGGCCATTGTGTGTGTGTGCGCGCGCATTGAGTTCTGTGTCATCGCCCCCACTTATCCCAAGGGCCTTATGTCACTCAGCCAGGCAGGCATGCACGCACCTTGCTCGAGCGATTGTCCTTTGTTTTCTTACATCCTAAGTTGCCTTCAAACGGTGATGATAAAACATGCTGTAGCTAGTGTGTGTGTGTGAGAGAGAGAGAGTATGTGTAGTGTATCTTCGTGGAAATATTCTGAGAACTCTCAGTTCATTGAGTGCTGGAACGTTCGTGTGTGATCCGGTCACAAGACTGAGTCTGCAGATCAACCCTTTTGTTGCAATCATGTCCGGTTTTCATGATTTATATGCTTGTCTTACGGTGCGGATGGGCGTGCGTTATCCAGTGTGTTGTCCTCTAAGTAC